AAACAATTATTTCTCTAATTATTTTATCTCGCTAAATAGAATAAAATTCATTGTTCCGTGCTTATCTATAAAAGATTTATTCGTTTATGAACGTTCTGAAAGAGGTGCATGATTAAAGATTATCGATTGTCAAATGGTTTCAACAGATTTAGCGAAACCCATCCTCTTAATCATTGTGGAAAGAAAATAGTGATAAGAGATTGTACACATATGTGTGTTAGAAATGAAAACGTGGAAAGGGGATTGCGTAAGGTCGAACAGCTGTAAATCGCTGAAAGCAATAATTGTCAGTGTGAATTACGTATACGGACACTTTCTTTTCTCGTTTTTCTCAGCTAAAGATGCTGTTATTTATCGCACGAGCGTGATACGATGTTGTAAACGAAGCTTAAACGTGCTGAAGAAGATAGACGGCCGCTGATAAAACCGATATCTCTGGAAAATTCCACGAAAACACTCGAATCAAATCGAAATGGATTCGTTACCATTTGAAAAAGCAGAAAGCGAACACGCAATCTCCTGCAACACCATTTATCTATTGTCCCTGTTTATGTGTACTTTTATTATTTGTATTGTACCAATCTTTATTATCAGTAGAAGTTTTAGGAAACGTTTATGTCAATTTAAAAGATCTAATCTAAATGATTTCTCATTAAGACACAACAACATGAGTTTAATTTTTTATGTTCTACCTATTCTTTCATGTCGAATGAACTTTTTATATCTTCGACTAATACAACTTTCTATTATATAAAATCTACAGTTCGTCGGTTGTAATTATTCTAAATGTCGAGTTCAGTCGAAATTTTAGTTAAGTGAGAATTAATGGCTTTCTAATTGGAAAATTTATGTCCAGCATGTTCCCTGGTTCCGAATTTACTACCGCTGACTCTGTATTATCAGACCCGTTCAAATAAATTCGAAACGTATGTAACTTGAAAAGCAGACGCCGCCGCCTAGAAGAACGTTTCCGCATTTCTATTTTTGAAACTCGTTACGAGTATTACCAAATCGTTATGGGCGTAAATATTTAGTTGCGAAGTCGTTTTTTCACGCCCTTTTTTCCCTTCACTACGCTTGCTTCAAGCAATTGTACTTATATAAGACATCCGGAGACGTAAAAAGAAATTAGATTCCCAAGGATCTCATTTAATTAATGAGGATTGATTAAAATTACACTGAACAAGAAATTAAT